CAGTCAATGACTGTAAAAAACTCTATCAGATTGATAGCAGTAATATCTGCCTATTCTTTATAGAATTTGGCATCCCATGGATATGGAAATGGAAGCCAATATTTGGCTATGATCATAATATGATCCCTTGTCTTAAACGTCAAGGACTCTCCAAATATTGGGAGAAGCTAGATCGTATGTGTCCAAARTCTTCAGTTTTGGAAGGTGCTGATCTTTATGATACCATTAAGAAGAAGATCCAAATTTTTAAGACGGACTTCGAAGATCGACAACAGAGGAGCGTTAGCCAGGACATTCCAAGCCCGTTCCATCAATTCTCCCAGAAATATGCTGGCACCTTATCTAAAGATGAGATGGTCGATCTTTTTATAGAGAACATGAAGAAGGATCTTCAACAGACCTTTTCTCATCATTCAGACGACAGTTCAATGAACTCAGATATGCAGCAGGATGCTCAAAGTCTGGAAGGCTCCGAAGAGCTAGTCATCTCCATCGATGAAGCTTTAGAAACACTTAAAGATTCTATTAAGCAAAAGAAAAGTAAGTGACTTTTGACTTTTGTCAAAAATGTTTTCTTTCGGTGCATTATTGCCGACCAACTTTTCTAAAGTTGTTTTCTTTTTAAAAAGAGATTCCTTTGCTTTTATAAAGCACTTTTTAGCTGTCCGAGCCAGCTGTCCTCAATAGGACTTTCTTTTCTAGTATAAATAAGGGAGGCCTGTCTCTCTTTCAGATCAGAGTTTTCTTAGAGTGTTTTTAAATTTCATATTTCCCTTCCAAGTATTGTAATCAGTGTGCTGAAGAAATAAGACGAACAAGCTACCGACAGTAAAGCTTGTGTAAATTTTGGTATTTCTCCTCTCTTTTATTTATTTCCAGTTTATCGCCGCCTTCATGGCCGGCTAAATTAGGACAATGAGTTAAAACCTATTTTGAATTGATATTTAAATAGATTTACATGGAATGGTTTATATGTTTATGATTTAGTAAAAATAATTATAAACAGTTAAGTTTATCTCTGAGACCTCTGAGACTGATTGTCACCCGCTGAGGCCAAGAGAGCCGTTTAGGGTATTAAATCTTGGTTTGAGGTTTGAGACAAACTTAGTTGTTTTAATCGTTTTTGTTAGACCTGGGGCATAGATGGAATATTTTTTTTAATAAAATTGTTTCATATAATAATTATGAAATTTTGATGAAATTGTTTCATATTTTTTTTAAATTAATATAATGAAGATGATAATATCAATGATTAACATCATCCACAATAAAAATGATTAATCAACCTCTCATAATTACAAAAAAAATGAACAAAATAAAAATCATGATTAATTGAATAAGGTTTATACAAATAACGTGATTTACAAAGTAAACTTAGGATAGGAGAAATTCTTAAAAAATAAAAAATGGAATAGTACTTTTATAATCATTCTTGTGTATGTTATGTATACATGTATAGAGTTAATTTGTATGTTATGCCTATATGCATAACATGTACACATATATAGAAACCATAAAATATTTCAATTATTTGTATACACATATATATATATATATATATATATATCATACAGATGAATGATTATAAAAGTATTTTTCAATTTTTTATTTTTTAAGTTTTTCCTTAAACCGCACTTTCTACATGTATATCTATGTATACGTTAAAATAGATTCAAACGAGAACCATAAATATTTTAACAATTTGGATACATACTATTTATGTTTTACTTCTTGATGAATTTCATAATAGATATTCATAATTATTTAGTGTTATTCATCATGAATAATATATAAAATAATATTGTTTCATAATTATTCAATGTTATTCATCGTGTGTTGATTTAGAATCATGTGAGATAAGTTAGCCCGTAAGATGCACTGTGAGCCCTTGGATGAGTTTTTTAGAGCATTTCCAACATGTATGCGATTTTTTTTTCTTCAAAATTTAAAGATTTCTCCATTCTGTCATTTTATTTTCTCTATTTTAGATGAAAATGTAGCATAACTGTTGAAGCAAACTTTTCCAACTCTCCAAAAAATCTAAAATAACATATTTGTTGGAGTTGCTCTTATCTCGTCAAGTCTTCGTAGCAAAATAAAGTGATCGTTTACTAAACGCTTATCCGGGTAAGTGCTTACCGGCAAAATTCAACATTATCGTTTACTTACCAGGTAATATTTTAATTCACCAAAATGTTATCAAATGCAACAATTAACCCGGTAAACACTAACCATGTTAAGAACAGTCGTTCTCACTTATCAAGTAAGACTTTCTATACTTACCTTTGCTTTTACATGATAAGATTATTGATACTTACGATATTCATCCGTAAAATAATATTACTCGATAAACATTTACTCAAATAAATGTTTCATAAACGGTCCCAAAAATTTCATAGCAAAAGAAATATCCAACCAATATTCACATGAAACCTTCATATAAAAGATAGCAAGAACCTAGTTGTACATGTGTTTTGACTAAAAAAATAACATACTCATAGATAACTATGAACCCTCTTTTAACACGTTTCAACCTTTACAATTACCAAAGAGATTTTGTTCATAACAAATTAATATATAAAATGGCTTGAATCAAGACAAACGAGTAATTATCCATTGAAAAATAACATATAAAGTCAAAGCAATTTTAAAGGGGTTATCTAAATACTTATCCAGTAAACATTTAGCGGTAAAATTCAATTTTATAGTTTACTTATCGGGTAAGATTTTGTCTACCAAAACGACATCATATGTAACAATTTACCCGGTAAGTTCTAACCGTGGAAAGAGTCGTCGTCATCACTTACCCGGTAATACTCTCGATCCGTGCCTTCGCGTAAGATTTTTGATAATTGTCATATTCATCCCGTAAAAAACTATGACTTGGTAAGCGCTTACCCAAATAAGCATTTGGTAAATAGCCCCTTACCGGTTAACAGCTGACAAGGTAAGAAACGTTTACCAACAATACATTTTGTTGGCCGGGAATGTTACGCAACAAAGTGAGGATGGTGACTCTTGACAATAAGCGTTTACCTAATAAACACTTACCGGTAAGCGTTTGGTAAACGGCCCAATATTACTATGCAAATGCAATACATATTATATTTCAAAAAACTTGCAGGAAGAAGTCAGTTTCTATAACAACAAATACTCTCTTCAGAAAAGGAAAAATCCAACAAGGAAAAACAGAAGATTTGTATGCTATACATTTGGCATGATGTATATATAAGAAGGCCGAATTAGGGGACTCGGGGGCCCCGACTAGAAGCACGTATCTGAAGCGTTTCTAGTATTCGAATTCTAGCTAGAGGTGCTAAAAGACAATAATGTCAATCTGAATGAATGATCGGAATCCAGAAAACAAACACAAAGGGCCAAATATATGATCGAAATGTGCGATGCTTTACAAACCTTTGTTAACCGATCACCACCCACCACCACAACCGCATCAGCAGCAGCGCCAACGACTGGGGCTGGGCTGCCTGTGTGCCCATGAAGCAATCTTCAGGTTGGCTGGTAGAATCTACACTCTTGAATTTTAAGATGAGCAATCTTCAGTTGGTTATCAGTTAGTTTTATGGAGTTTTAAGAAATTGTACATAAGCTATAATAACTTGTAACCTTATATTTTTAAGATATTTGCATTAATAAATAAGGATATTGTCCAAAATAACCATTTTAGGCTCCCTAATTCATTTATAGCCGATTTTTTAATCCATTTACCAAAATATCCAAGATTTCACAAGTAGCACTTTAGCGACTTGCGAAATCTACTTTTTTTATGAATTTAATATTCATAAAGTAGCAATTTCGTAAGTTGTTAAAGTGTTGCTTGCGTGGCAAGTGGGCAGTGGCAAGTGGCAATTTAGCAAGTTAATGAAGTAGTACTTTAAGCACTTTAGCAAGTAGCACTTTAGCAGGCACTTTCATGTCAGCATTTCACACCTAGCACTTTAGCAACTTGCGAAACTGCTACTTTATGGATATTATATTCATAAAAAGTGGATTTTACAAGTTGCTAAGATGCTACTTGTGAAATCTTGGTTTTTTCGGTCAATTATGTAGAAAAACGGCTATAAAGTGAATTTGAGTGGTCAAAAATGGCTATTTTCGACAATTTCCCTACTAAACGGCATCTGATACTTAATAAGTTGTTTCTGTCATATGTTTTATATAAACCATCGTTCTTAAAAAAGACATAAATACATAAATAGCAAGTGCAACATGGTTGCTCAAATCTTGAATACAGAACAATTTCAAAAAAAACATAAATAACAATTACACATACCATTTAAACTGCAGATCTTCCTGCAGAATCCATCAGCTCTGCCTTTGCAGCTTCCATGATAACATCAAAGTTGGTTTGTATATACCTCCCCCTGTTAACAAGCCTCAATTAGGGGCTGTTTGGTTGGCTTTCCATTAAGTTCTCTATGGATAAAGTTGTCTGTGTGAATTAATCTGTCTGTATAGATTCAGAAGATTTTTGTTTGTGAGAATTTTTTTCTAGATGGAAGGAGCGTGTTCTTTTAATTGGGAAGGGTAGATCTGGAAAAAACTTGGCTTTCTTAATGAAGCTCCCCCAAGAAGCTTACCGAATAAAACCACAAGGGTTGTGACGTAGTGGTTGAGGCCCAGGGGATGTGGTGGAATATCTCATCTGCCCTGGGTTCAATTCCAGACGTCCACAACAATTTTGACCACTGAGTTTATCAGGGTTTATCAGGGTTGATGTCTTACGGTCGCAATTTACAGCGATTAGTCTAGGCAGCCTGGGACACTCTTCCAAAAAAAGCTTGATGAACAAGTCACTTTATATATCATTAAGCCACTACCAAACACTCATGTATACCTGACCAAATAAGTTGTGAGTCTCTTTAAGCTAATTAAGCTGCTAACAGATAAGCCCTTAGTGTAGAAATCTCATAAAAACATGTCATTTTTTGTTATCATAATCTCAAGCTTACCAGAAATGAGTTCTAGACCAAGTTGAAGAAGGAAATGCCGGAGTGGCTATACCATGCATTATCCTAGCAATTGCTCGAGGGGTGAATTTAGCATGGGAATTGCTTTGAAGGAACACCTACGACACCAAATATCATATAAGTCAAATAGAATCACATTGGTTTTAAAAAGAGAGACTGTGACCTGCAAAATGTGTTTACCTTGATATCTGCTCTCAAGAACCGGCTGCAGATACACAAATTTTGATGTCAATAGACAATACACTAAAATGATATGAGAATAGAATTGTGGTTTTGTTTATTTTTCGTTTGCAGAATAACAAATGAAAGAGGGTAAATACAGTATTTTCAAGATTATTGCAATGACATAACAAGAAAGCATGGTGGTCCTCAACTTCAGGTTGAACTAATTGATAATAGAGTGAGTTGGTTATCAAGATTTGTCAGTTYMATTGCATTTTGTAAGTTTTTATATGTCCACTAATTGATAATAGAGTGAGTTGGTTATCAAGATTTTTCAGTTCCATTGCATTTTGTAAGTTTTTATATGTCCACGACATTTGTCACACAATAATACTGCCAAGAATTATATAAACCTAAGGATCTCACACAAAGTATACATATGCTTCGATATGGTTATTGGATAACCAGAAACCTGAATTACATCATGTTGATTGTTAAAATAAAGTATGTGTTGCAATTATAATAATTACAGGGTTTTATGTCTAAATGTATTTTACGTATAATTTTATTATGATTAATAATATTTAATAAAACCTTTATTTTAGGCTTAATGGGCTTAAAGATAATCACGAGCCCGGACCATGTTTAGTCCATGTTTGAGGACTATGGTTTGTCTATAACTCAGATAGACTAACAATAAATAAAGAGAAAAGGCTAAGCCTAAAAGTCAAATCAATCTTCTAGATTTAGAGATTATCACAGAAAATAAACCTTTTTATTCTTTTCAATTAAACACATACCAGGGTTTCTGGCTAGCACCTTGTGGGGCCAAAGCGTGTTCGTGTGTTGATCTACAATAGAGAAAACCTACTTTGGTTTCTAAGTGCTCCATTAGAACCCACATCAAATCTAGAAGATAATACTCTGAAGACCCTATGATTTGTTTAGATTTGTTTAAAATTCATTGGCTCCAAATAGGGTTTCTTTTTAGAGAAGTTTTCTAGAAAAGGTAACCTAAAATATTTCCCCCCCGCGTTTTGCAAAAGTTAACTATTTACTTTGAAACTCTACTCATTTTATATGCATGCCAACTAGAGTATGCAAATTTCTAAACCTGGTTTGGTCCATCTTATTTGGGATATTGCTGTCATCATCTGAATCGAAGTAATCCAAGATCTTCTTCTGTAAACATGGTGTGTGTTGTGAATCAATGCAACCGCTTGTTCTATCGCATGTTTTCACTGCAAAGACCGCAGCATTAAACATCACGTCTACTTTGCGCACCTGGATCAGTAGATAGTTTCCAAGACATAAATAATACAAAATACTAATAATGAGATGAAACACTACAAAGATGAGCCGGTTCATGAGAGCTTGAACCAGTGCATCAAAAATCTTGGCAACCCAGATCCTACGGTGAGCCCGAGCCTAGGCAGCCCATGTGGCTCTTTTAACAATAGGATCTAGATTGCCAAGATTTAAATTCTAGAACCACACTTCAAAGTTAAGGGGACTAAGGATCCACTTGTTAGCAACTTAATGAACTTAATCGGACTCGCAGCTTATTCGGTAACTTATACATGACTGTTTGGCAGTGGCTTAATGATATAAAAAGTGGCTTATTCAGCAAGCTTTTAGGAGAGAGCTTTATGTAGAAAGTCAAGTTTTTTCTAAACATGTCCCTCCTAACTAAAAAACACTCTCCTTTCATATAAGAAAACCCTCCCAAATGTAAACATTCCCAACCTATACAGATTTATCCACATAGACAGCTTTATCCATATAGAACTTAATGGAGAAACCAACCGAACAGTCACTACGCAACCACTAAATAAAAACAAGTTACCTTGCATCTCTCAACCTCTGATAACCATTTGGCAAGATCTGCTGCCAAGGAACATATATCTTTTGGGAAATTTATGATCATGTAACAATAAGCCGGATCCTTCAATTCGTATGTAATCTCTCCCTTCAGCTAATAGAAAAAGGAAATGACTTAAAGATGGGTAAACATGAATCAAAAAGGTCATAAATAGGTAAAGATGAACCAAAGTAATAGGCATATGCACAAACAAACCTTCAGAATCTGCAACTGATTAGATACAGCAGAAGTTTGAATTCCAATGCTACAGGCTACAGTCGGTATGTCAAACACATATTGTCCATCCTTTATTTCAGCCCTGAGAATCACATTCCCGTTATTCGTTTGTATTATAATGCACGTTTCGTAACTGAAAGTAGCGGACATACTCAATTACTTACTTTTTCAAGATTGTTGCAATTACAATATCCTTAGCAGCAAGCAATGCCGGAGAGGTCTGAATTTAACAACATAATCATGAGTCAACTATTGAGCATGAACTAGAACTCTACAACGGTGTGTTTGGTACACTGAACGGGACAGAACAAAGACTTTTTATGTCGAACAGACAGGAACAAAGTGGAACAGACATGTTCCACCCCCACCCCATGGAACAAGGTGGAACAAGCTATATTTTACCAATACACCCTCAAAATAAAATCTAATTCCCTTCTAAACATCAAATACGCCTCCCTCTTTGCATCTTATCCATTCTTTAAATTCGATTGTATTTTGTTCTCTTTAAACTTTCACTTTATACTCCTCAAAATTCTTTTTTTATACATAATATAGAAAGGCTACAAAAGAAAATTTAGAAATTCCATAAACTTCATATTTTGGTATCATTTTTAAATGGTATTTGTTAATTTTCATTTAGATCAATTATTTGGTAAAAAAACACTAAACAACTCATTAGGGGTAAATTTGTCATTTTAACTGTCATATTTTGTCCAATCCTACCTTACCGAACATTGAACAACTATCCTATCTTGTTTTATCTTGTTCTGTTTGTCTGGGTACCAAACGCACCCTAATTGAACTATATTGGCAGTAAAGCAGCAACCCACCATATGGAAATTTAATACGCATGTTACGCTTGTTTGGGGTAGTAAACGCAAGTACTGGACTTCGGCTAACTCCAAGCGGGTTAATATAGTTAGGATCACCTGAAATGGTCAAACAACAATGGAATGTAAGAAACTGTATCAGTTCCATATTAATGAGTTAACAGGTACGTATTATGATTCTAATGCTTCAAGTACCTCTTCTTTCATGTCAAATTTCCGAGATGCAGATTCTTTGACTAGTGAGCAAATACTTCCTTTTGAATTTGACTCCGTGCTGAAAACTTGTGAGAGGAACTTATTTACGGTGTATTGATCTAACCCATCACTGACAAAGAAAATACGGCAAAGCTAAGATTTCTTCACTACAACAGAAAACTTCTTGAACGTGCAACTGGTTACCTGTACATAAGACTCCGGAGCTTAAAATATGTTGCATCATCAAGAAAGAGATGGCAATAAGATGATCGGCCATCACGACCAGCGCGTCCAATTTCCTATAAAGATCGAACATCTTTAGATATATGATATAATGATCAACATGAAAACTGCTTGGTGGATCGTTATCCAAACCTGAACATACTCTTCCAAGCTTTCGGGTAAACTGTAGTGAATTACCTGTAACAGATGCAGATAGGAACTTTTAGCATAATTATGTAATTTCAATTTATAGATTCACACTTCAAGAAAAAGAAATCAGGAATACTAAAGAATTGTCCTTACAGCTCCAACATCACTTTTATCAAGCCCCATGCCGAATGCCACAGTTGCAACAATCTTTCAAAGGGAAGGGTTAAGACAAGGAGAAAGAGAAATGTTTAGGGATATTGTATCTATATATAGTCTACTCACAAAGAAATGCTCTAGAAACCATTAAAAAACTTGAAAGATTTCTTTACCACTCGTATCTTGTTTGAACAAAACAATTCTTGGGTACGCCTTCGATCTTTAGCAAGAATCCCACTATGGTAACTCTAATGGCAATTTATTGTTCATATCATATCAAAATCACAAAAAGAATGTCAGGCACAAGCAGGAACAGTTGTCATGTGAACTGATCTTAGCAAACATATCAGATACTAACCTTTGCCCGGATATTGCTATCACATAAAAACTTGCTAATCATATCTGTTTCAGACTGCAATTAAAATTGAATGTAAGAGCAGTGAACCAGCCAGAATTTATGTAAATCTATGGTGAACTGAATCTTTTAAACTTAGATTTTCGTTTTAGGTGGTTAAGAAGCTGCATATACCTGATATTTGCAGTAAATTATAATGCTTTTAACATCCATGTAAGGTGGAGCCTTGAGCAATGCCATCAAATCCTTCATCCTGAATTAAATGACAGAACAGGATTACAAATGCTCTTAAATTGGGAATGTGACAAATACCAACCGAATTTTTACTTGCCTGTTTCCACTCAAAGATACAGATAACTGCAAGTTATCCCTGATTTGTGCTGCTTGAACAAGATTTGAGGGAGGAATCTCAAGAGAGCACATCACATCATGCATTGTTTTGGTCGTTGCAGTTGCTGTCATTGCAAGAATGCACTCTACTCCAAGACTAGAACGAAGTAAGGATGCTCTAAGCCTCATATATGAAGGGCGGAAGTTATGTGACCTGTCAATATATGTGAACTTAAATTTTATGCATTATGGCATTGAAGCAAATTTTGAAAAATAATACAGAAGGCCTAATCTTGATGATCTAATGAAATAAGCACCGTAGTTGACTCACCATTCAGATATACAGTGGGCTTCGTCAATCACAACAAGTGAGATGAGTGAAGTTGCAGAAAATATGGATGTAAATTCTGCATTTAGTAATCTCTCCGGAGAAACAAAAAGAACCTGTAAACAAGTTATGAACTTTTAAGAATAATAAGAAAATTACTTCAAAAAGATTTCGACTTTTAATTAAGGTATTGTTGCACTCTCAGAATAGCAGATGAAGGGGGGTCATTAAGGCAATATAAATCATTATGAACTCACTTTCAAGGCTCCTTCTTGAACACGCCTAAGTGTTTCCGAACTCTCTTCTAGTGTCTACAACAAAGGTGAACACAATAATCAGGCATCTGAATACAAATTAGAAAGCACAAAATACAAACACACACATAGATAGTACCTGACTGCTACATAATAGACCCCCTGGAATCACCGGTGGTAGCTGTTTAAGTTGATCGAACATAAGTGCTACCAAAGGACTAATAACAAGTGTCATTCCCTGCAAAACGATAGCAGGTAACTGATAGCAAAGTGACTTTCCAGCGCCAGTTGGCAAAATCACCATACTTGATTTCCCAGCAAGTAAAAGTTTGATTGTCTCCAATTGGCCGTCCCTAAAAGAATCATACCCATGAGTAAGCTTCAACAACTTAACTAAATTCTCGTCAGATGGATCATGACGAACATCCAACGCAGCCTTCTCAATCACTTCTAAATCAAGTCTCATATCAGTCTCCTGATTCTCATCCAAATGCCAACCTTCTTCTTCACAAAAACTGCGCTCCTCTTCTGCTTGGCCCCCACTTTTCAATTTTCTTTTGCTTCTCTTGTAAGACTTTCGACCTGCATTATAAGCATTTTGATTCCTTTTCCTAACTTTGTATGCAAACTTCTTGCGTCCCCCATGACCATTGATGTTCAATCTCACAAAGTTCCCTTCATTTACTAATTTAGGCTTGGTCACCTGCTGCGTAGGGAAAACACAGCTCCCAATCAAGTTAGGATGTTTCTTCACAGCTTTCCCTGAATCTCTAGCGATGGCATCTCCCCCTACGGTTTCATTTACAAATTTGGAATCAGGCGTGTTCGCCTCTTCCAACCCAGAACCACAACTCCCGATCAAATTCGGATGCTTCTTCACAACTCTTTCCGAATCTCTGACATCAACATCCCTCCCTTGGCTGTCACTAGCTCCAACTTTCGATTCTAAACCATGACCAATTCCTTTTTCCGTTGATTCGAAGTTCAAGCAAGGCCTACGGATCTTAGAAAAAGACGGAAATTTCGATAAGCATGAGCTACCAGCCGGAAGAGTCTCAGTAGGACAAATAGTATCAAACGGATTACAACCAGAGGAACGGCGGATCTGAAACGGTAGGTTAATATCAGAACTACGCGTAGTGGATGGAATAGGGCGTTGAAATAGGTCGGATCCATCATTTTTAGGTTCAGATTCTGGTGGCGGCGGTTTAGTTCTCCTGATGGATGGTTTAATATTCAAAATCGGCCGGGAAGAACTGGACCTAGCCTTCGATTTAGGGTTTTTCTGTTGCTTAGCAGAAACAATAAGAGTATGTAGTGCCGGCGATTGAGGTTTAGGTGGCGGTGGCGGTGGCGGTGGCGGTGGAGGTTGATATGGTTGACGTGGAGGCGTCGATGAGATGTGTGATCCGCCGGATTCTGAATCGGAGTAATCCATATACGACCGGCGCCGGAAAAAAGAAAATGAGTAAATATATCAAGGGCTCAATTTTTCCCGCCTTTTCTAGTTGGAGGGAAATATCAGAGTAAATTACGATATCATCCCTGTGGTTTGTAAATAATTTCAATTTTAATCCCTGTGGTTTATAAATTGCTTTTTTCATTTCGATAATTTACAAATTATTATCATTATTTTTTAATTTAGTAAATTATATTAATTAATAAAATTATATAAACAACTCAGGAGTAAGTTAGTCATTTTATATATTCTGTCATTTTCAGTTTTGTCTTATCAAATGTTGAACAATTGTTCTCTCCTAACCTATTTTGTCTTGATACCAAACACACTCTTACGTCCCACTTAAGTCCCGTCCTATTTCAGTCTAATATCCCGCCAAATGAGGGACAACAAGTTTAATGCAATATGTTGTCTAATATACCAAACGCTCCCAAATTGCCTTGAATCATGATCATATATAACATTTGGGAAAACTTAAGGGTCGTTTACCAAACATTTACCCGGTAAACACTTATCGGCAAAATTCAACACTATCGTTTACTTACCGATAATATTTTAGTCAACAAAAACTGCATCTTATGCAACAATTACCCGGTAAGCGCTAGCCATAGTAAGAGTCGTCGCCCTCGCTTACCGGGTAAGACTCTATGTCCTTGTCTTGCTCTTACGGGAAAGATTCTTGGTTCTTATCTTATTCATCCGATAAAGTGATATGACTTGACAAGCGGAATCAACAAGGGTTTGGTCTGGGGCCGTGTGAAAGTAGTTATTGACACTTTCAAAGCACTTGTTATTCTCTACGGTATTTTCTTGAACATCTCTTCCAAATGAATCGAGTGTGCTCGTTCCAAGACTCGAGGGATACGTCTTTACACAAATATTTACGTTTTTTCTAACCGGTCCCATAGGAGAACACCCACAACCACATCTAGAACAAATTAACACACCCTTTTGACTATTAACATCCGAGATACCATCAAAAGCGACAGAAGTTGTAGGATCACGATCCTCGAGATTTCTTGAGTCGTCGAAAAGCGCAAGTTGGTTGCTTTGTATTTCCCCACGGGATTCAATCCCGCCACCATCATCTTTTTCGATCACAAACACTTGATCATCAACGTCACAATCTTGCATGTTTACACACCCGCTGGTTGCATCATCCTGGCTCGCTTCGGGATCGTGTGCACCCGTTATCCCGAGCCCAGAACTTGCATTACTACTAGTTGTAACCGAGGGATCCGTACATATCATAGTATGATGAGCGCAACTTGCTATTCCGACATGAACTGTTGAACTAGGGACACTAGAGAGGAGTTGTCTCAACATACTACGGGGACCCTCTTTTTTATCCTACATAGGGATGTTTTGTTAACAGCTTAATGAGACTTGCAACTTATTCGGTCAGCGATACATAACTTGGGATGGAAACAAGACAGGTATTGGGCGGGTAATGCACCCCCGTCCCCGGCTGCTGTTTAAGCCCCCTGTCCCGAGCCAGTTTTTTGTATGAAATTAAATCTCCGCCCCCTCCCCGTTACAAATGCTATCAGAGACGATTTTTATACCATCGGTCTCAATTCTTTTTCCGAAAAATAATTTTAAACATACAAAAGATCTTGTTTGAAATAATTTTTTTGTATAATATCTTATTGAAATACACTTAAAAATATTTAATTGGGTCATTCAAATACACTTAAAATATTTATTTTCACACAAAAATATTAATAATATTTTTATAATTACTAATTTTGAAATTGAATATTGAGATACTTGAAAAACTTAAAAAAGAACTTAGAAGTTTTCGGTGAAAAAACATGATATATAGTTTATATTTTGAAAGCAAGCCTACGAATAATCGATCCCGGTCCCATAACTAGTCTCGGGTCGAGCCTTGAATTTTCATAAAAAGTGTAATTTGTCCCAAATCGTCTGTCCATAACCGGTCCTTATAAGTCTCTACCGGTCTCTGTCCCAATCAGTTACGGTTCAGATCTTAAACTGGTTCTAGACCGGGCCCATTTTACCCATATCTAAGGGCTTGTTTCTTAACAACTTATTGAGTTTAATATGACTCCCAAGCAATTATACATGACTGGTTGATTGTGACTTAATGATATATAGAATGACTTATTCAGTAAGCTTTTAAGGAAGCTTTATGCTGAAAGTCAAGTTTCTAACCACACTTATTCCATCTCCCTCTAAATTAAAAAACTTTTCAATCTCCATAGACAGATTAATCCATACAAACAACTTTATATACATGAAGCAAATGGGCAAATTGCATGGAAAAATAACGTAGTTTAATTTGATTCCTATTTTAAGTAACGTACTTTCAGAACTTTCATTTTGGTACCTAAAATGTAAAATTTTAAACATTTAAGTACCCGGATAACCGGTTATCATTTTGATGCGTTGAGTGATGTGATATTCAACTCAGTATTATTTGTTGACGTTGTTAGTAACATGAATTTTTTAATCTAAAATTAGTTTTCAACTGGTTACCCGGATACTTAAATATTTAAAACTTACATCTAAAAAATACGTTATCTAAAATAAAAAACAAGTTAAAATACGTTATTTTTTAATGTAATTTGCCCCGAAGCAAAGTATTAACGACAAACCAACCAAACGGGCAAGAAGTTATTGTAATCCAACCTGGCCCAACATTTGGATCATTTGGGCCAACTTGATGATGCTCGGTTACGCTCCGGTAGTAGTTCATCATTTCGTCCACCTGAACCACAATAACGAACCAAGATCCATTTTGGTGTCGCCGTCGCCGTCGCCTGAGACATCATGTGGCCGTCTATAAGGCACCGATCTCTAGGTTTCTCTTCCGAAGCTATTCATCAATGGAAGTCAGATCTTAATCGATCGTTTTGTTCGTCTATAGTTAACGCTACAAACGGCAATGGAAAGAGTGGTAACGTTGTCGAATTACTCAACTTAGAAGAGGTCGAGAAGATTCTCAGAGATGTGCGAGCTGATGATGTGAGAGTTATACCTGTTAAAAAGCAATCGGAGTTTGCGAATTTCGTCGTTGTTGCCACTGGTAAGTCTCAGTGGCATGTTCGCAATATCGCTCAAGCCCTAATTTACAAGGCATGTAATTCTCCTCTTTTGTTTACTTCAAGGATTCCTATGCTTTGTTATATGGATTATACAGGTTACTTTTTTGAACTTTAATGGATGCATTGCATCATTTTAGAATCATGCAATGTTTTGAGCTATTTGTTGTGTTTCTGCGTTCACAAAAATGGGGTCGTATGCGTAATCTATATATAGAACTATAGAAGAGGAAGATGATTATGCTTTAATTACTTCGTGATGAACATCAGATTTGAGAAGCCGATCTCTATCCATTAAGTGAGTTATGCCATTGTGCCAAATGATCATTTGTGAAGAATGCACAGTCTGTGTTCAGTGTTGTTACAAATTCAAATTTTCTGGATAACACTAGGGACAAAGCACTCTTCTGTTGGAAAATCTGTAGTTAAGCTAAACAGGGAATTAGATTTTAGAACCCAATGAAACGATTCTACTTTCATCAATGCGAACTTTTAGATCAGATTTAAGATAACTACATATGAACATGCAAATCAAACTTAAGTTTCTAACTATTCTGAACCACTTAAAGAGGCTGCAAGAAATATTTCTACTCTTGCTTTAAAGCTACTTCTACAATTTGTCTTATTTCTTCAAAATTACTGAGCCAAACATATGTGTTGCTGCCAATTTTGTTGAAACTAATTCTGATTTCTGGAGCAGGTGAAGCAAAAACAACCGGGAGCCAAGAGAATGTTGTTGCCAAGTGTAGAAGGGCAAGAAGGAGGAAACTGGATTGTCATTGACTCAGGTATACATTCTTTCTTCTTGTATGGAAACATATTTTCTTATAAACCAAACCAAACCAAACCAAATGGACTCAGGTAAATCCCACTCGAAAATAGGGCATGGGAGTGGTGAGATGCGCAGACCTAACCTCTACCTCAAGACTCAAGAGCAGTGTGGCTGTTTCCGTGATGACTCCAGCTTGTGCAAGTGTCATAACAAACAAGTATTAATGTATTATGAATAAAGCTTAGCACATGGTCAATAAAGCTTGTGACACTATCCAAGATAAAGTAACTAATAAGTACATTGGACACATACAAAAGGTAAGGTAAGGCAATACCCACACGGAGCAAGGAATAGCCTTTCTCTTATTTCATGTAAAAAATTAACGACCATATGATTCTTTTAAAGCAAATAAAGAGGGCCCTTGCAAACTTCCAATGTTAATATAGTTGAGTTCCTTGCTATTTCTGGCCAATTTGGAGTGGTTGGTTGGGATCTTAAGTTGGGTTTTAGATGCTGGAACTCACTAGTTTGGGTTTATGCTGTAGAGAATGTTTCACAATAGGAAAATGACAGGCCTTTTGGTCTATGGCATTTCAGTGGAGGTCATATAATCTGCTTGCAAAGAGCTCAATTATGTGTGTTGGTGTTCGTTCCTGAAAACCTGAGTGTGGAATGACTGTATCTGCATATATTAAACCTTCCTACTGTCATTCATAGCTACAATTTTTAACTTTGATGAGTTCCGGTAATGGTATCTTTTCAGGTTCATTGATAGTTCATGCCTTTGATGAGAAAGCCAGGGCTTATTACAACTTGGAGCAGCTGTGGACCTCAAAGGAGTCGAGTAAAGAACAAAGTCAAAGTCCGGTAAATATCTTCGAGGTTATATATTTAATGTAAACTAACATGGATGGAATCATGAACGTTTGACATCTTGGCCTTTTTCAAAACATCATAAATCAAACAAACCCAGTAAATCCCACGATTAGGTAAAATTTGTGGGTATGATGTAGGCATACCTTAAATGTTTTTTGTAGGACTTTGTCATAGACATAAGTTACGTTTTTCGTCCATGTGGTTTGAACTTGCAATTTTCGTCCCTACGGTTTAGAAATTGCGGTTTTCGTACTTATGGTTAGTAATTCATTGCTACACTCATCCTTATGATTTACAACTTCTTGTTGTTTCATTTTTAGTGGTTTACAACTCTCCACTGTTTTGGTCCCTAGACTAATTCCTTATTGTTGTTTCGGTTCTTTACTGTGGTTTACAATTCTTTACTGGTTTCGTCCCTTGTACTTGAATGTAGGAATTAGTCTAGGGACAAAACTAGCAATAAATTGCAAACCGAATGGACGAAAATCGCAATTTCTGAACCACAGGGACGAAAATCATAATTTACTCTATAGCATATGTGATTAAGACCTGTTGAGGCCCTACTCTTTGGAGGAGAGCAAGGTTTGCATACATCACATCCTCCCCACACCGTGCTTTCTAGTGGGAGTTACTGGTTCAGTTTGAATTGGTTTACCCGTTGAAGCTCTAACGAGTAATATTTTCGCCAGGACTTGGATCAAGCTTTTGTGAAGGTACGCCGCAAGAATAACTCCAAGAAACCGGCAAAGGGATGAACCACGTGCTTGCTTATATGGTAGCCAACCTCTCTTGATGGGTAAAAATCTCTTGGCCCAAATTCTTTTGTCCACCAATCACATGAATACATGAGAGAGAATGTGAACATGAATTATACAGATTTGTAACAGATAAAAGTTTGAAGTGTTTTAATTTCATTGGTGGGACAAAAATGAGACATACGACTTGTAAATTTACATGGACTTCTTTCCTTGTAGAGAAACCAATTATCCTGTTTCGTGATTTGTACCATAATAAATTGAACGTTCAGTTTTTAAAAGGGTAAGGTTCAGCAAAACCGAATAGATAACAAACAATCCATTTTGATAGCCGAGAATGTTACTGGAAAAGTAAGTAAAGATGGTGACTCTTGTTGGTAAGTATTTACCTGGTAAAGCATATGGTAAATGACTCATAAGTTGTCGAACCATTTATTTGATCAAATAATTCAATTTTTTATAACCCTTTTAAGTAGATTCTTTTAATTTATAAACCAGTTAATGTGTTAAACTTATGAAAAAAGTCTTAAAAAATTCATCTGATTTTCATATTTTTGAGCGATTAAACGTTTAGATACTTTTATTTGAACAAATAAATTCCTCAACTTTTTAAACAAATTAAGTATATTATTAATACCAATAAAACAAAAGGAATATACAAATTTCATTAGTTATTTCAAAACATATAAAATTCATGTCTAAAACATAAATAAATAATTATAAACTAAACATTAAATGAATACATACAAAGAGTTGTTTTCATCTCCTTTACAAAATATAATAAATCAACCACAAAAATGGCGTCTGATTGATTTGAACTTGAGCTCCAAAGGTTAAAAGTGCCTAGGGATCTCAGGTTCAAATTCGATGAGTAATAAAAATCCCCTTGTGACCATGGAGGTTCAAATGCAGTGATTTCGGACTACCCGCAAAGCAGGTGGTCATGGTGAGATTAGTCGGTTCATATAGTTGGTTGAATATCTTAGGTTAATCAAGTGGTCATGGTGAGATTAGTCGGTTCATATAGTTGGTTGAAATATCTTAGGTTAATCAAAAAAATTATACGAATACGAAATCATAGACGGTTGGGTTTTGGTTTTGGCTTCTAAAAATGATTGCATTAAATAAAACATTTATTTTTATGGATCACTTAAGTAGAAAAATGTAGTATTTTTTTAAGAAATTGTTCATTGCATAAATTTTCAGCTTAAATCAAGTCATAAACTAAAAAAAATGTATGATCAAAATATTAACCCGCTAAAAATACCAAGAGTAAATTATGTTTTTCGTCCTTGTCGTTTGTTTAAAATTGCATATTTTGTTCTATGTGGTTTTGAAATTTCACTTTTCATCCCTATGGTTTACAATTCAATTATATTTTTGTCGTTGAGGCTAAAACACTACCTTCAAGTATAAAGAACTAAAATAGAAATGAATTGTAAACCATAGGAACAAAAAAAGCAATAAATTCTAATTCATATTTCATAAGGACGAAAAAGGTAATGAGTTATAAAAGATGAGGATAAAAATTGTAATTTCAAAACCATGAGGATGAAAATAGAATTTTTCAACAAACTATAGGGACTAAAAACGTAATTTACTCTACTAAAAAAATGAAAAATCAACCTATATAAATCAAGTTTTATAAAATTTATTGAGCATTGCTTCTTGAAATGTCCATCGGGTCTCTCGTTGTGGAAGGACATCTTCAGTTGTTCAGGGTGGAACTTATCGTCATCTTTCTCCTTCGATGATTTGACGACTAGTTCAGATTCTCATGCCATTCTGAGTTCAAGGCGGCGCAGTCATATTGATCACTCTGTACTTAATTTGAAAACATCATAACAACCAGGTTTTTTAATCATCCGTCTTTTCAAGACTAAACTCCCTTCTTTCCAATAGATCTCCAAACGGGACAAGGGCTTTAACAATGTCATGGCCATAGTCTTGATTGATACACCTATCTAGCTTGCTCTTCCTTGTGGCTTGTTCTGGCCACCGTCGTGGGCTTCTATATCGTCTTTCTTTTGTTAACCGCACTCCAAGTTTGTTTTGTGAGCTCGGGTTGGGTTTTGCTGGTGGGACTGTAGTTTGAGTTTCTTTTACTGTTGTTTATGGGTGCTTTTGGGTTTATGTTTTTTGGTTGTTTTTTTTAACTCCAGATTTTCAGGCCAACTTATGTGTACTAATTAATCCAACAGACAACCACAAATGGTTAGAAGACATTGTAGGTCCAGGGGAAAACTATTAGAAAAATGAAAAACTGAGAAATACTCTTGTAAGTTGTAACCATATCACCCATATATATATATATATATATATATATATGTATTCTTCTGTAACAGCTTCAAACTCGAAATCAATATTAAAAATAAACTTGCATCAACATTCCAAAAGCACAAAGATGGATTTATCTCATGAGATTGAGATTGATAAGGAAAGTTAAGTTAGGAACCCGAGAACTGTCAAAGATGCACCACATGTCCCTTTTCAAGATGATTATTCCTTGTAAATAACACAATCATGATGAATATGAACATGATGAATAACACGTTCATATACATGATAAATATGTCACATGCGGACCAAATGGGACCTTAGCATATTTTCTAAAATTGTAAATGGCATTGCTTAAAACCTATGATGTTGTTGCTGGTAGAATAAGGTCGTTATTTAACATGTTATATGTGGATTTTGAACAAGGCCTTCAAAATTCCAGTGACCAACTTTACAACCTCTGTGAAACCTTGTTTTCGTTGTTTAGGTTTAAGTTAAGATTATTATTTAGCAGTTTTTTTGTGCTTTAACATGTATGTATATAAAGGTTGGTTTCGGTGAGAATGAAAGTTATAATGAGAAATGTAAGAAAGGATCTCCGAATCAATTCTTTTCTAAAGCGCAATTTATGGATTGGTTTAAGATTGAAAATGATCAAGGGTCCAAATCCCTCCTTACACTTCTGACCTTAACTCTTATTCTCACATGATCCATCGTCTATATATATATATATACACACACACACAAGGTTTTAAAAGGCAGAATCAGGCCTCGAGGCTATCCGAGGCGTAAGCACGAGGCGGAAATACTTATACACCAAAATACGTATATATAATATACACTACACAAATGTATATACATTTGTATATATGTATTATATACTAAATTACTAAGAGGCATTGCTTCAGTGGTTCTTGACATAAGAAAGAGTGAGAGTGAAAGTGAAACTGTGTGACAGGCTGAGAGGGTTTGCAAAAATTGGTTGCTTGGAGGAAGAGGAAGGGTCCAACTATACTTTTCGATCGAGAGGAGAAAGCACCGGTTTCCAGCTTTTTGGGTTTTAAAATATTAAAAATACACATTGGGCCCATCGTGCTTTGACTTTTAGTTTTTAAAAATACAAAAAGACTAGTAAGAAGTATAACTAATGCCCTAAAGCTTATAACAGAAGTCAAAAAAAATCATTACCAAGGTAGATCATTTGAGATGTATTTGCCTCAACATCGCCTCATGCCTCACTGAACCGCCTCACTAGCCTCGTCCAGGGTCCAAGAGGCGTGCCTCAAGTGCGTTTTGGGCCGCCTCACCTCAAGGCATAAGCCTCAAATTATTTTTAAAACCATGTGTGTATTATATATATGTGTGTGTAATATTTGTTATCTCATTTTGCAGTGTAATTAAATGTTTTGTCCTAACAGGGTCTCCCAAAAGATTGGAACGTCAAAATAATATTGCAAAGTGAATCCAAATGAATGCAAAGTTTTGATGAACCGAATGAGATTATTGTTCGAAAAAATCTCGAGATAAAAACAAAATCAAAGGAACAAACTCACGGTAAATTTAGGCCTTGACGGAGGCAATGTGGCAAATCAAGTCGATAACTCGAGAACTGCAAATAAGAATTGTGGGATCATGAGACTGACCGACCGACCGACCAACCATAAAAAGAATTAAGGATTGATTATGTGAAGTTGCTAAGAGTAGTGTACCTGTATCCCCACTCGTTGTCGTACCAGGAGACGAGTTTCACGAAGTTATCGTTCAAAGCAATTCCGGCCTTGGCATCAAAGATGCTTGACCTGAAACATATTATTATTATTATGATTATTATTACTATTATGATAACTTATAAGGCATGTTTAAAATGGATTTATTATGTTCAATTCACCTGTTGTCACCAACAAAATCTGTGGAAACAAGATCCTCTTCAACGTATCCCAAAATACCCTTCAGCTTGCCTTCTGATTCCTCCCTGATTTCATTGCAATTCATTTATCAACAACACCCACTACTCACAAACACAACACAATTATATTTTTATGTCATGTACATATATATGGGACTAATCAAATGAGAACTAAGTAATTTGTTATAACCGTGAGGTCCAATATGAGCCACTCATTTAAGATAATTATGTTACCTATTTAATTATATAGAAAATGGTAACTCATAAATACGTTTAATTAATTTGATCTCTCCATAAATAAGGAACCCATAACTTCCCATAGAGTGTTATCTTCGAACCTTTGATGGCAGTAACACAGTGTATTTTCCTTATTTCATTTGTATCACATTTTGTGTTTTCGTTGTTTAAAAAGCATCAAATTGTGTATCTTAAGGTATCAGGTGATAATTGGATAAATAGAGAGAATGATTCTAATTAATGTATCACAACGTGCATACAATGAGTATCATAGTGGAAGCGTAGAGAAGAGATAAGATTTCTAAAATACTAAAATGTCATTATTTAAAATTTCAAGTCAAAATTACCAAAGTTATTAATTTACTAATTTAAACTTTGATTTGTGGAGATCTGATCTTAAGGATTTCACAAGATACTGAGTTTTCCCTTGTATATATTCCATTCTAATATCTGATGAATACTGTGCTAACAATAATGAATAAAACATGATTAACAAATAAGTAAAGTATGATAATATATCATTAATCATTAATTTCATAATCATATCATCATTCAATTAAAAACATAAAATTGATCACATAATAATGTATTATATGATAACAGGACACTGTATATTTCAGCATATATATATACCCTACACTTGAATCATATATAAATTCGAATATGCAAAGTTTCGGACATCCTACCATGAATATAATGATTCAAACGCCCAAAATCTCTATTTTTGTTGGTTATTTAACAATTTTATTTTGTAGGTTCCATAATATGGTGCAAGGAAAAATTGAGATGCAATTGTCGGTTGGGGAGGATGGAGACAGGACCCACTAATGAAGAACAAAAGATATATACATACATATAATATATATATATATATGTATATATATATGCGCACATCAGCAAAAAAAAAGATTTGTATTAGAACTTACTTAATAGCAGCCTTGATCTGCTCGTAGGTAGCCTTTTTCTCAAGCCTAACGGTTAAGTCCACAACAGAAACATCAACGGTTGGAACACGGAAGGCCATTCCCGTCAATTTGCCATTAAGGGCCGGCAACACTTTACCAACAGCCTACATGGATGGAAACAAATTACAATGGAACCGAGTAGAAAGTAAAATAATCCTTAAACTCATATTGGCAAAAGTCAAAGTGTCTTCTAGGAATTGATTTTTACCTTAGCAGCTCCAGTACTGCTGGGAATGATATTGAAAGAAGCAGCTCTTCCACCTCTCCAGTCCTTCATCGATGGACCATCAACGGTCTTTTGGGTGGCTGAAACATCATCAACACAATGTTAAACACACAATATCCCTAAGGTGCATTTTGGGACGGGGATCACTATTCCACGTTTTACAGGACTTTTATGTGGAACAAAGTGGAGCAGGTGTGCTCGCAGGGGCGGATTTAGGGGGGTTCCAGTGGGTACCCGTGCAACCACAAAATTTTCCAAACATACTGTAATTTTGTTCTAAGGGCCTTAAGGCTGCTACAATTTTGTTTGGTTGTGTGCTACGGTGCCCCCACAAAATATCCTCTAGATCCGCCTCTGTGTGTTCGACCCCCACCCCATGGAACAAGGTGGAACAGACTTATATTTTACCAATATAACCTCAAAATAAAACCTAAAAATATGCCTTCCTCTTTAAATTTTATTCATTTTTAAATTTTTATTTATTGTATTTTATGCTTTTTAAACTTTCACTTCCCTGTCCTCAAAATATTATTTTTATACGATTTCTATATTTTGATTAATTTATGTAATTTATTAAATATTAATAATAAAAAAATATAGAAAAGGTATAAAATAAAAAGGAAATTGCATAAACTTTTTATTTTGGTGTCATTTTAATCGTTTTGCCAAAAACTTTCTAATGAATCACAAGGGTTGTGGCGTAGTGGTTAAGGTCCTGCAGGATGTGGTGGAATATCCCATCTGCCCAAGGTTCAATTCCAAGCGTACACAACAATTGTGGCCACTGAGTATATCAAGGCTGATTTCTTGCGGTCACAATTTGTCAAGATTAATCCATGCATAGCCTGGGACACCCTTCCAAAAAAAAAACTTTCTAATGATATTACATAATTAATCGAAATATATATACAACTCATTAGGGGTAAATTGGTTAGTTTATCTGTTTTGTCATGTCGAGACGTTTATCAACTGTCCTGTTCTGTCCTAATGGATACCAAACACACCCTAAATAATGTTACAGGCTGATGTATCTTAGTAATAAACCAGTTGAAAGGCTACATACCAGTCATAGCATGCACTGTTGTCATAAGACCCTCAACAATGCCAAACCTATCGTTGATGACCTGAGAAATTTACAAAAAGATAAGCATAACATAAGTATGAGAATCGAGTTTTTGGTTGTGAAAGAAAAACAATGCCATATAAATGAAATCATGACATAAACCTTGGCCAAGGGAGCAAGGCAGTTGGTTGTGCAGCTAGCGTTTGAAACAATGTCGAGCTCAGGTTTGTATTCGTGTTCATTGACACCGACCACAAACATGGGAGCATCCTTGCTAGGAGCAGAGATGACGACCTTCTTTGCACCACCCTGAAAATCCATTTTCTCATTTAAAAGAGGAATCCTTAAATAAGAGGTGGCAAAATCAACACAATGAAAATAAAACTAGCTCATAAATTCCATGAATCTCAAGAGTTAGCATTGCAATGGGCGGTTCAGCTTTTAACTAATTGCTCAAATGAATGGAATGTTGTAAAATAAGGAATGGATTTCTAGTTTCTACCATGTGTCTTACAGGTCTTGTTTGTTTGCAAAATAATAGATCCCACCTTAATTATACTTTCAAATTCAGCCATTCTTAGAAAATAACGCATTTACTACTTCAACCTTAAATCATAAGAAATTGAATGCAGAAATGCACTTAGCAGGTTTCTTTTAAGACGTCAATTAAGAGACTTCTTTAAAATCTCTCAATATTGTCTTCAGAGTTTTACATTTACCCTGTGTTCTCGAAACCATTTTTATGAAGAAAGGGAGGAAAGTAAAAAAAAAAAAACTCGTGTTCTTGAAACCTTTTTAGGAGAAAAGGAAAGGAGAGGGAAGGAAAATAATGATAAATTTCCTCCCAAATGTGTGAGGAAAGAAAAGAAATTAAAACCCTTTTAAAAAATTTATTACAATTATGAAACTACCCAATCTTTCATTCTAATAGATATAATTTAAAGTGTATATTAGTAAAAAACTAAAAATGACATATTTCCTTTCCTTTCTCTCCTGTTTAAGAACATGAAATATTATTTTCTTTCTTTTCCTTTCCTTCCTTTTCCTTCTCTCTCGAGAACACAAATAAAAAAAAATTCCTTTCCTTTTTTCCCCTCCCTTCCTATTCCTTCCGTTTCTATTCGTTTCTTTTCTCCCCAAATTCGAGAATACAACATTACTTGGGCAGCTGGGACTAATGATTATATTTAACTCAAATCATCTCTATGTTCCGTGCAAGCAACAAGGCCAATCAATTACAATGAAGTAAATTAAAGAAGTGAAAAATCCTTTATCCAGAAATTTAGATCAAGCAACACCAAAACAGATGTGCGTCTATGATTTTAAAATGTGAAAAATGTGAAAACCGACGCACAATATAACCTAAAAATAGTGAACCAATAAAAACATGTCAAAAACAGAGATCCAATCAGACCTTCAAATGGGCAGCAGCCTTGTCCTTGTCGGTGAAGACTCCAGTGGACTCCACGACAAAGTCAGCCCCAGCTTCACCCCATGGTATATCTTCTGGGTTCCTAAATAGCATGAAAAGACGATGATTACTAATTTTCTTGATTAAAAGATTTATAATGTATGACCTAAATGTTACCTGATGCCAAAAACAGTGACAGGCTTCTCACCAAAGAGAAGAGTCTTCTCATCCTTGACCTTAAGCTCATGATGCTTCCATTGTCCATGAACAGTGTCATATTTGAACATGTATGTCTGCCAAGCACAGTAACTGGTACATATCAGTAGTTACATCTATAGAAAATGATATAAGGTAATCTACACACACATACAGAGATCCAAACCTTCATCAAACTAAACATTTGCATCACAATATGACACAACATACATTTACACATGGTAAATTATACTAAATGGAACATTAGCGGGAAGAGCTCCATAAATAATAATTTGAGCAATATTTTGTTTTACCAATTGCAAGCAACCCATATAGTAACGCCAATACACATGTTTGGAATTGAAATCAAAATGGTACTTACGATTGTTCACTAATTTCAGTTCCAAACAGCCAACCAGATCAGTTATCTTACTTATCTATTAACAACACCATGAAATTATTCACCAACTACATGATTCTAACTAACTAGAACAGATCCAGACACAGTACCATGTAATCAGTGGTGATGAAAGGATCGTTAACAGCAACAAGCTCAACATCATCTCTCTGAAGAGCAACTCTAGCTACCAAACGACCGATTCTTCCAAATCCTATCAGATATCAATCAGATCAAACAAATTAAACCAAAAATTACACACACAAAAAAACGAACTCAAAAAAAAGATCATACCGTTGATTCCGATCTTAATCTTCTTATCAGATCCTACAAATTTGAATACAAGATAACATCAAACAAAAAGAGAATAGAATTAAGCGAAAACATAGCGAATCAGATGCTGAAAATGAAACTGAAATGAGGATTTGTAGGCATTACCCATGGCGATTCCGATCCGTTAGGGTTTGAAGGTTTTGGAGATAGATCGAAGGTTTTGGAGTGAGGTAAATGAGGCATTGTTTTTGGGGGTTTATATATAAAGCAGCGGCGGATTCAACAAAGCTGGTTGATCACATGGGTTTTTACTAATTTTTTTATTTATTTTTTTACAAAAAAAATAATAATAAAAACATAATATATATTTGGTGGGAAAAAAATTCAGGATTTAAAGGGAATTGAACCCGACGTGAATCGAACACGCAACCTTCTGATCTGGAGTCAGACGCGCTACCATTGCGCCACGGATCCTGATGCTGAGATTTCACGACATAATTTTTATGAACTAAATCTTAAAATACTGTTTTTGAACCAAAACAAGAGTCCCAATTGCTCATGAGTTGGGTTGATCGGATTAAAAGCATTTAAACAACTCAGCTCAATGGTTTTTGGTTTGGAAAATCTCAATGAAACCTAGCCCCACTTGTATGGATTAGACAGGTTGATACTTTGGTATATCAAAATATTCTCATAACATTGAATATGTTGTTTTTTCAATACTCATGGTTTCTTTTTCATCATCAATCATTTGTTCCAACTTATCTATATTTATTATATATTAAGTATGTCTCATTCAACTACTTTTCTCGACTTGCATGTATATGTTCGCGTTTACTGGACATGTATACGAACGAGTTATAGGACGAGGGATCGTGTGAGAATAAGAGTTAAGGTGAGAAGCGTAATAAGGGATCTTCGTCATTCATCACCTTTAATCTCAAATTCGTACATGAATTGCGTTTGATACGGGGATTGTTCTAGTGCATCTCATCTTAATATGCATCCAATGGTTGAGATTATCTGTTACTCTTCTCACCTTAACTCTGCTTTTCATCGAAACTCAACCTTGAGTTATATAGAAAGGAAGAGGAGGTTGTAAATATATGTATATGAATATGGTACATGATGATGTGATTGTCTAGTGTACATATTAATACTGACTTAACAATCATATTAAATTCAATAAATAAAAAAATATCAAGTTCATCAGGTTGGGTTAAATGATCATAACCTACTTCCAACCCAATACCTACAGTTTGAATATTTCACAACTCGATTAAACATCGGGTTGTTTCGGATTGGGTTATCTCGCATCAATTTAGATTGGGTTGGTCGGTTTTTTTAGCACCCCTTCTCCCTCAATTCCAAAATAGTTGTCTATAGTAAAAATAACACACAATTGTAATATATTGTGAAACAAGGGTTTTTGATCACCAACTCTTTCATTGGTTTTGTAGTCGTTACACTTCCTCAAACAAACCTAAATTCGCCCTTGGTCGTCTTTGCTGTAAAAAATTAGGTCTACGATGTGTAGCAGCACGTGATTTGGCTCATGAAACAAGCATACTTTGATGACTATATACCAATAATATATTAAAAAGTATTTGGGTAAAAACTCATAAAAACCATTTTTAATGCATCAAGTAAAAAAAAACGAGAATTTTGAAATTGTTAATTTGATACTAATATTGATATAAAATTTGACGGGTCTTTAAATTTAGATTTTATTCAGATATAAAAACATTATTATCTTATCAAAACCATAAAAACAGTTTTAATGAACGTATACAAGACATACAAGTCAAAAGGTTTGAAAAGCTTTGATGGTTCACCTAAATGCACAAATTGAGTTTGGTGGCTTTGATGAGCCTACTGAGTTTATTCAAACGTTGACGAGTCCCTCGACGAATTTAAGGGGTGTGAGTGGGAGACAATACAATCATTAATTTTTCCAACGTAGTTGACTTTTTTCGGTTCCTAATGATACTGCTATTTTGTCTGATTGTGTGATACAGTGCAACTACAAAAATAACTTATTGGATCTGTTTTTGAACCAATCTATATACAACAATATAAAACCCTTTACAAAATTATAAAAAAATATATCATATTTATAGTGTTCTATCAGTCTGTATTTTCATTATAAAAAATTTGCAGTACTCTACAAGTTGTTTTGTAAAATTTGGTTATCGTGATTTTGTTGGTAAATTACTATATTAAATTTGATAACAATTTTAAATTTGTTATGAAAGAATTGACGTTTCTAGAAAAAGGCTTTGTTATAATTCGATTTGAATGATTTATTTATTAAGAAGAAAAATATATGAAATGAAGATTTTTTGTAAGTATATAAAATGTATATATATGATAAATAAAACAAATAAATTCAAGCATCCTCCTTACATTTGGTGATGTTTGAACCATTAACCTCGTAGAAAACTAAAAACTCACATACTGTTAGACCAAATGTCATTTGATGTGAAATCAAGACTTTACTGACAATTGGATAAATTTTATGCTTAGTTATGCCATGTAGGGTATCGAGGGGGTAGGAGTTGAATTTGATGGGTTAATCGATGTTGTTGATACAAAAATATAATCGCATAACCATAAGTATTAAATACGAATAAGAAAACAAAAAATGATATGTTACTTATATGTACCTTCTGCAAATTAAAATGTCATCCGGTGGTTTAGGGGTTATTTTTTTACCTCTTAATAGTTCTACTAAGAGGCAGATTTTGAATCGTTAGAAGGCAAATCTTGTTTGACAAAAAAATCTGTCTCTTGATAGTTCTAAAACCCTTTGAATGATTTCATATCTTGAGTCTCCCTGAACCATTATACACTCTAATTTCATTACGAATTACCAAACAACCATATTTTATTTTGTACTATATCACAAGAGTCTATTAATCATCATGTACTAAGCCATTCAGCAGTTTACTCACCCCCAAACCATTTTAAACTAGATCACCAAAAGACACATACTTTTCACCGTTCTTATAAAATAACCTTATCAAGATGCAAACGACTTCATTATCGTTTGCATCCATAAGAGCATCTCCGTAGATTCGAGGAAATGAGGGTGTTGGGGACGTTATGTAATTTTTTTATTTCAACAGATTATCCAAATTGGAGAAAGTGGAAAAGATTGTGAAATTCTTCAAATTTGGAAAACTCCCAAAAAATGATTACAAAGAGAGATAAATACTTGTTTTTATGATACTCCAACTTAAATGTTTACAAAAGAGAAATATTTTTTTTAAATATATGAAATAATTAATAATACTAGAAGGGTGCTTACAAATACAGCGAAATATATCTCAATTTTAATGTTTTATTTTATTATTTATCTATGTCGATATAATACGGGTTTTAGTGGTTTTGAGAAAACGATAATGTTTTATTTTTTAATAAAATATAAATTTAAATATGTCATAAAAATTTGGAAAAAATATATATCAATATTATTATCAAATTTACTATTTAAAGTTATGGTTTTTTGTGTAATTTATTTTATTCAATATTTTATTTATAATTTAATTTAGATTTAATAACAAAATAATTATTTATTGTTTAATAATATATTTTTTATAAAGATAATAATTAAGCATTTTGTTATAATTAATGGTTATCCTAATTATATTTTAGATTTTTTAAATTCAAAATGAGATGTTTATCCCGTATTTGATTTATATTTATCTATAGTTAGCTATACAAATTAAAAAATGAAGCTTTGATAAGTTATACTTACAAACAATTTACGTGTGATATTGAATTTAAGTAATATGCATCAATAAACAGTATTTTATGCATAAAAAATGGTTTTTAAGAGTTATTGTCAAATGTTTTATAATATAGTTTAGATAATTAATTTTATGATTCTAAAATGAGGAATTGTTAGAGTTTAATGTAATTATTTTTTTGAGATTTTGAATTTTGATTCTGAATCTTGAAGAATCTGTTGAAAATATTATAATATCTTCCAAATTAATTCGTAAAGCATCTTATTAATTAATTTATTTAAATCAAATTAATTACTAATTTTGAATTTATTCGCTAGAAAAAATCTTAAAAAAAGCTAAGCAATATGATGTTTTTTTATTAAAAAAAAGTTGAAGAGATTAACGGTAATTATTGTGAATGTGTCTCATTTTAATACTTAAAAAATGTCTCATATCTATCACTAATTGATGAAAAATGACCATAATACCATTGTTTTGAAAGTTTGGTTGCCATTTAGGCTTGTTTTTAAATGCTATAACTTAAAACACAAACATAACGTTTGTTTTTAAAAAAATGTTGAAGTCTGAAGTTTGATTTATAAAAGGTAGTCTTAAAGTCTGAAATCTGAATCAGTAAGATTGTTTGTTTTCACGTTTGAAGTCTGAAATTTGAATCGGTCAAACTAGTGCAAAAATATAAAAGATAAATAGTTTTTAGTAACAAATCTCTTTTAGCCCCCCAATATATGAACCATTTGATAGAGGACGGATTATGATTAAAAGGTATTAAGAGATGCATTTACTACTTAAAATTTCAGATGACATTTAGAGCTTTTAAGCTCTTATTTTATAAATAAAACAAACGTCTAAACAAATCATACTTCAGAAGTATTAAGAGGTAATTTTGGAAAAACAAACAGACCCAAACTCTCTCCACCCACAACATAATCAATTGGATTGAGTGTTCCAATTGATATCATAAAGCTTGAAAAATGGTGGGAACACAGTTGTTGCCATATTATTACAAAGGTTGTTTGATGCAAAGAATTCACTTGCTCATGCAATATGGTTGACGACCTTATAGGGGGAAGGGATGGATGGTGGTAGTTGCCGATCGTGTGTTGGGAGGCTACCGGTTGTCTAAACATAGGGGCAAGTTCATCTTTTTGACTTATGATGATATATAAGTTATACAATACAAGTTTATTGCAAAAGTTAGAATTATAACATCAAAGATTTAACATTACATAAGAAGCCCATCAATTTTACAAGGGTACCATGGTTTTTTATGAACTTATAGGCTTACTTTTGAAGTTAGATGACTAAACATGTAAAATAAATTATTGATAAAAACCTGTTATTGGTGGAAGAAAAATATAATATTATTTATCTCTCCTATAGAGTTTTAAAGATTTCTCTAAATTTAGAGATTTTACATTATCTCTCTCTTTTTTTTCTTTCTATTTTATCATACAAGATAGGTTAGCTGCTGGAGCACAAAACTCTCATAAATCATCAAAGTTTCTATTATAGAAATACTGTTGGAAATGCTAGAACATCTCCAACAGCTATGTTAAAATGAAGAAAAGAGGGATTTTAGCATTTTTTTTGTCCGACAACTATACTATCTTGTATACTAAAATAAAGAAAAGAAGAGAAAAAAGGTAAATATCTCTAAATTTAAAGAAATTTCTAAAACTCTACACTAAAAGAGAAATAATAATTAATTATTTCTCATCAATAGGAAAGAGAAATAATATTTTATTAAATATATTAAATATTTTAATAATATAATTTAATAATAGAATTACTAAAATAGAATAGCCGTTGAATTTAAATGTATTTTGTTTTCTTCTGATTTCAGTTTTATATTCTATTTTAGAAAAAGAAGGAGATCTCTTACAAATTAACGAAAAGTCAAAGGACTAAAGTGCAAATAATGTCAATGAAGAAAATATAGCCGTTGGGATACGTGTGAAAAGTGGGATCCACAATCAAATATTCTGATTTCAATATTTGCTAATAAGTAACTAAAACAAACCAGAAAAATTCAAACTAGTCGTTGGGTGAAGATCCCCTCCCACAAACTTCATATCACACAGTGATTTCACCAAACATATATAAAAGCCACCCATTTTTTCAAAGCTTTACAGTTCAAGAATATTAGGGTTTACTTTCTCTCTCTAGATTTATGGAAATGGGTGAAGCAGCTCCTTGTCTGATGCGTTCAGTTTCACAGCCTTTTTTCGCTTCTTGCGAATACAAAGAGGTTAGTTCATGACATCAAGAACGCTAATTTTTGTTTTCTTTCTAGGGTTTTTATGGTTCTTAATTTCCCGTTTGAATCCGAATTGGGTGTTCATTATATACAGGTGTTGTAATCACATTTGTATCAAATTTTCTTCAAAACCCTGTTTTAAAAAAAAAAAAAATCTGTTTGCAGGGTTTATCTCTGATTTGATTGCTAACTGGGTTTTTAATTTCATTGGTTTCTTTCTAGTTACTTAAAATTTATGGGGTTCTGGTCAAACTCCAAGTTTGACTTTATTAGAGTAGAATATACTAATTAGATGTTGATCTTTATTAGGGTTTGGGTCTGGTTTTCTTGAAATTTAAGGGTTTTGTTCAAGATTCTGTCCTAAAAAGAGTCCAAATTTGACCTTTTTTCTGAATCAAATATCCGAATTGGTCATTCATTAGGAGTTGTGTCCTAAAAGAGTCAAAATTTGCGACAATTTTAATTTCTGGCGTCTCTTCCTTTATAGTTTTCTTGAAATATCTGAGATTGATCAAGATTCTGTATATCTTGAACATCTCATGTAAAAATGTTCAAATTTGACTTTTGGAGAGTCAAATATTTCAATCTAGGTGTTGATTTTTGATCAAGTGGTTGATTACCGACAACCCTGACCGGTCCCCACATGGAACCATACTCTAGGAACCACATGTGAGGAGTGGTTCAATCCCACCTCCTGCTGGATTCGAACTTGTACCTGTTGTGTTTGAGCAAAGTCACTCTTTCCCTTTGCCAACTGAGCTACATGCCCGAGGGTTGGGTGTTGATTATATCTCTTTTGCCTACAACTTAGTGTTTTGTTTTAGCGTTCTTGAAATTTTTGTCATTTTAGATTAAAATTATTGGCTATCTAGAACCTAAAGGTCAATGTGCTACAGGGAGATCCTCTTAGAGCCCTAACGACGTCGATTTCATTTGGGCGGTTCATGACTGAACCGTTGGATTGGGAAAGATGGTCTTCGTTTTCTCATAGTCGGACCCTAGAGGATGTTCAGAAATACTCTAGACCTGGTGTGGTTGCCGAGAAGAAAGCTTTTTTTGAGGCACATTACAAGAAAATTGCAGCCAAGAAAGCTGCAAAATCACCTAAGAAAGAAAACAAAGCTCCTAATTACTCCCCTGAAACCAATGCTATAAGTCCTGTCACTCTTTCTAGGAACTCGGATTCTAGAAGATCAAATTCTCATTCCGCCATTGATGACACGGGAGGAAATGAGTCGACGACACTTGCTACCAATGAATATATACCAAGTAATAGACATGCGGAACAGGAAATAGGATCGATTGAAGATGTTTGCTCACCTAGCGTTGGTCTAATTTCTTCAGAAATCGACTATATCTCGAGTATTGGCCATGTGGAACAGGAAAAGGCCTCGATCGAAAATGTTCGCTCACCTAGTAGTAATCAAGTTTTCCCACAATTCGGCAATGTCGAGGATAACGTGCCAAGTGGCAGCCAGGTGGAACAGGAAAAGGCATCAATTGAAAATGTGTCGTCACCTAGTACTAATCAAGTTTTCCCACAATTTGTCGATGTTGAAGATAACGTGCCAAGTGGCAGCCAGGTGGAACAGGAAAAGGCATCGATCGAGAAGGTTTCATCACCTAGTACTTACCAAGTTTTCCCACAATTTGGCAACGTTGATGATAACATGCCAAATGGCAGCCAGGTGGAACAGGAAAAGGCATCAATCGAAAATGTTTCCTCAGAGAGTCATCAGTTTCTGGTTGAGAACTCAAGCCAGTCTAGTCATGATGACAGGAAAAAGAAAGCACGCATCAAGGTATGCAATGCAGCACGTATATTATGAAATTTATTGATGTTTTTATGCTGATGATAACTTGATGTTTTGATGTTTCATGGTGTTGCTTATAGGATGCTGCTAATGGTAGGGATAAAGTATCAGGGCAGACAAAACCTGAAATTTCTTCATCTAAATCTTCGAGTAAAAATGGAGTCTACAAGCTCCAAAGTCCTCGAAAAGCACCAACTCCTCCAATTTGCCCCAGGAAGGCTGCAATAGATGTGACAGAAAAAAAGAGATCACCTCCACAATCTCTTCATATGTCCATGAATTTTCCTCATGCTCGAAAAAATATTGGTTTGTATTCTTCGCCATTTGCTCCCAAGAATGGGACCTCAAAAACTATATGTAAATCGAAAGACAAACCGACACAGCAAGCTCTAACCAGGGTACTTCCAACTTTCTTTCGTTGAAAATTTTCATTTATTATAATCACATATGAATCATTTCATTAATGGTTTGATCATCTGTTTCTATTTGCAGGTGTCGGTCAATGGGGTAAAGAAAAGTTCTGAGGTACTTCCAAGACAAGAAATCAGAAGGTAATTTTTTCTCGAAATCCTAATCTTGTAGGGGAAAGTCTTCTTGAATGTATAAGAATTTACTGTGGTCTTTTGCAGGTTTAAACCACTGTTAGATTGTTTTGTCAATGGCAGAAGAAAAGTTGACCAGAAGTCCATTTCGACAAGGTAAGAATCTGTTCTTTATTATTTGTTAGAGATCAGAAATAGTTTAAAGTAGTTTAGGTCAATGGTTCGTCCATCCTCACTGATTTTTATGGTAGGAAAACTAGATATGAACTGAAGGTGCAACTGTGGGGTCATCCTATCATTTAAGAGAAGAATGCCACTGAGGTTTCATTAGATATCGTACATCTAGAATCCCTCTTTTACCCCAATCCAGCCCCTCCACCATGAACCCGTAGACTAAACTTCTAGTTATCTGGACTAGGGGTGTTCTTGAACGAACCCAAGCTTGACCCGTGAGAAAATTAACCGGCTTGGTTTTGACTTGTGGCTTGACTTAGAGAACTCAACTTCAGGTTGGTTTATGGCCTCGTATGGATTTGTACAAGTTGGAACCTTCTATCAACTTGTAGGCTCTCGTCCTATGGCTCATAGAAAAACAAATTAAACTCTTAAAGCAGAACTAATATAACTTCTTTTAAAAAGTTACAGTTAGAACTCCCTAAGGGAATTGAATTCACACCAAGTGGCTTCTAGGGTTGACTCATTTAGGCTTGCCAAGGCTCGAGAATGAACTGGGTCACAAGCTCTCACACTCATCTTATCTACAGACAAGACTCTTTCAAACTACAATTCTTTCTGCTTTTTATAGAACACAACGAAAGAGGTATCGGGTTTCTGTTAAATCAAATTTACAGCAATGTTACAAGTTCTTTAAGGTTTTATGCCCTACTGACTCCTAGAAATATTGCATCAGCCATTCAGAAGCATCAAGTGCATGTATAAAGAAACCAAGATCTTCTACTGTGCCTACATCGTTTAGCTTTAGAAGTGAAGAAAGAGCAGCAAAACGTAAAGAGGCAAGTCTAGATCTCATATGACTACAACACGCACTATCGTATCATGCTCTTGATGTTTTCTTGCTATGTTTTTTTCACTACAGTTCTTTCAAAAGCTCGAAGCAAAGAGCAACACCAAGGAAATGGGAACAATTCAGCTTCAACCAAAATTGAAGGTTTTTAACAATATACCCCCCTGTCCCAATAAATTTGCTATGTTCTATTGGACATGGTTTGAAGAAAACATTTAACTATTAGTGAAATGTCTAAAATAACCTTCAGTTATGATTAAAAAAAAGGCGCATTTTGTGGAACAAAGCAAAAACAATGAGAAAATAAGTAACTGTAGCTTGAAAATTTGCAAAAAAATGTGAACTTTCATGAGATGGAGTAGTATATAGAGTTTTTTCTTATCTAATAGTTTGAGATAATTGATGAAGTAACATAAAAAGAGGTTATCTGAGGGGAGTTATGTTCTTGTACAGGAGAAAGCAAGGAATGACAATAAAAAGCTGAGCTCTGCTCCGGCTCTAGAAGCAAAACCAAGTACAAGTGAAAGAAAAGCGCCAAGTAATAGCATGGAAAAGGTAAGCAAATAGGTCACATCAAAAGTACCTGCAGCTTGAACATTTGCCAGAAAAATGTGAACTCCACAACTTTCATGAGATGGAGTAGTATATGGAGTTTTTCTATATGCTAGTTTGAGATTGATACACCCTTTTATCACAAGTAGGTTTTAATTGATAAAGTAACATAAAAAGAGGGAGTTGTGAGTTATTTCCACATATATTTCGACTTTCCTCAAGGAATCCATGTTCTTGTACAGGAGAAAGCAAGGAATAGCAATAAAAAGCTGCATTGTGCTCTGGTTCTAGAAGCAAAACCAAGTAGAAGTGAAGCAAAGGCGCCAAGTAATGGCATGCAAAAGGTAAGCAAATAGGTTTACATCAAAAGTGAATGCAGCTTGAAAATTTGCTAAAAAATGTGAACTCCACAACTTTCATGAGACGGAGTAGTATACACATCTACTAGTTTGAGATTGATGCACCCCTTTATCACAAGTAGGTTTGAATTGATAAAGTAGCATAAGAAGAGGTTATCGGAGGGGAGTTGTGAGCTATTTCCACATATATTTCGACTTTCCTCAAGGAATCCATGTTCTTTGTACAGAAGAAGAAAGCAAGGAATGACAACAAAGAGCTGCTCTGTGCTCCAGCTCTAGAAGCAAAACCAAGTACAAGTGAAGCTAAAGCGTCAAGTAATGGCATGGAAAAGGTAAGCAAATACATCAAAAGTGAATGCAGCTTGAAAATTTGCCAAAAACGTGAATTCAACAACTTTTATGAGATAGAGTAGTATAGTTTCTTTATCTACTAGTTTGAGATTGATGCACCCTTTTATCACAAGTAGGTTTGAATTGATAAAGTAACATAAAAAGAGGTTATCTGGAGTTGTGAGTTATTTCCATATATATTTCCACTTCCCTCAAGGACTCTATGTTCTTCTGTGTACAGGAGAAAGCAAGGAATGACAATAAAGAGCTGCGCTGTGCTCCAGCTCTAGAAGTAAAAGCAAGTACAAGTGAAACAAAAGCTCCAAGTAATAGCATGCAAAAGGTAAACAAATAGGTTACATCATCATCATTCCACATAATTTTGACTAGAATAGTGGTGATTGATTATCAATGAATTTGTCATATAAATTTAGGCAAGAATATGGCTGTATGAATTGATTGTCTGCACAATACAGACTAAGGTCATTAAAACAATATCAAAGTTATCTTTGATGCCTTTTAGTGAAGAAGAGGAGTGAGTAATGGAAACATTTCTGCAAAATGCAAGGAAAAGGCACCATGATCCTTCTCATGTCTAATTAGCAACTATCTTTTAGATCATGCAGGTTCCACCAACAAGACCCTGCTCACCAAAGCTTGGAAGGAAGCCAACTCCCAGACTAGTGCTAGATACTTGTTATCAATCTCCTTGGAGGTCATCTTCCAAGCCAAAGAATTTTATAGAATTAAATAAGAAATTACTAAGTAGTTCTATGGCTTCACTGCCTACTAAGAAAATGTATGATTCAACCTTGATGTCAAAGAAATAATATTGAAGTTTGGGTGTGTTTTTGCAAGTGTTGTTTGTTGATTGCTTCTTTCAACATCATTTAAGCGTTAGATGCTGTAATGATTTTTTGTTTGGCTCTTGTCAAGTAATACATATTTGTATGCAAGTTAACGTATTATTCTATCTTTTAAGAAACAAGTTTCTACCTAATGTGTTGCAAAGGATCAATGTATGTACCCAAACAAAATAGCCTCTCCGTTGTCCAGTAGAGCACCTCCAATTCTTGCTGAAGAGGATCCTTCTAGCCCATATCATGTTTCAAGTTCTTGTAGAAGAGTACACTTGATGAGATGCTTCTTGAAAGTGCGTAGTGTGGGATAATAAATAGCATAACTACGAGTTTCATATGATGATGATGAGCAGAAGCTCTCACTGGATCAAGATAGCAAGATCAGACTATGAATAGGCCTTGATCTATTACAGGATATTCCAATGAGTCAGGAGGATACTCATAGTCAAATCTTAGTGCATCATACAAGTTTGAAGGAACTTCAGCAATGAACTCTGGATCATTACACTCGGGCACTTTGTTTTGCATGTCGAGATTTGTTGAAGAGCAATGCTGACCCTGAAGGAAAAAAGCGGACAATTCCAGATTATGTATGGAAGTTTGTTCTAAACTGTGATCATCTTTCAGGCTCCATGTTGAACTGGTGACAGGATCAGGAGGTTGGAAACTTGGATCAGGAGGTTGGAAACTTGGCGTAAGGTTCTGGGATGGCACAGAGTAGGAGCCAAAAGATGACTTGGTTCCACTGCTTGATTTTGCCTGTTTGTCTCTTTCTTTACTGAAAAGTCCATTTGCAATGGACTGCATCGGCTGCAAATTTACTTGGTTGTGTTGTTGGAGAGTAGGCAGTCCCAGATCGGCAAAGCCATTTTCCACCTGAAACTGTGGGTTGCGTTCTTGTTTGAACTGGATTTCTGTAAAACCTTCATTCCATGAGTACTGAGTTGGCAACACAGAATTATATGTTGAGTACTGCGTTGATCCAAAAGAATGGCTAATTCCAATGTTTGAACTGCTGGCCTTGTGACTCTTGGCTGCAAAACCAGTTAATACTTTTTTGGGTTCTATTGTCTGCAATGAAGCAGTACCTTTGAGATCAACTTCATGGATTCTGGAATTAGCATTCTGGAGAAGAAGGTTGCTGGGAGCTCGGTAGCTATTAGCTTCATTTTGTTGCATCTTTATATGATCCGCACGGTCTCCAGCTGCATCTCTTGGAGAGAAATCTGGGTGCTTTAGCCCACTAGATGATGTTTTTAGATCATCTTTCTGTAACCTAGTTAAGTAGAGGCGATATTTCTGCACTATTTAAAAACAATTTATGAGAGAACAGGTTGCCGATCGGTTTAAGACACCCCCCTTCAAAAACCCAAAAGAAAAAGAAACAAGAAAAATAGAGTTGGCAAGAGTTAAAAGAAATACCTGCAAGTGGCTTGCAACATTCTCTCTTGTTAACCATGGGACATTCATGAGGTCGAGTATTTTCTTAGGACCAACTTCTGCCATAAAAAAGCAAACAATTTTATATCCTCCAGAAGTTCATATGGTAGACAAAACCGTAATATCAAAACCAACTTCAGGAAAGGGAAACTTCAGTAGATATGACTCACTTTCAAAACCAATATGGTTCACAGCTTTGACAAATTTCTGGTGAAGTTCCACAGTCCAAACAACTCTTGCTTTCTTGACTGAAGAATGGTCGGCGAAGTCTTTGTCATCGTACTTATGTTCAGCATCTTTTCTTTTCTTACCTGGTGTCATGTCACTCCCACAAAGCATGTATCCATCATCAGATTGTTCAGACACATTTCTCATCATCAGCATCTCTTCAAGGCCTTCATGACTTTCAGTATCTCTCACCTCATGTATCTTTTTCCTGTAAACATGCTGCCATATGTTTCTTAGTTCCTTCATTCGAATTGGCTTCAGAAGATAATCACAAGCCCCGTGTTGGATACCTCTCATAACTCTGCTTGTTTCTCCATCAACAGACATCACTGCATAGAGTTCATAGAATGTGATTAGAAAACCAGTACCGGGTTTCAGCACATACATATAAAACTGAAAAAATATATATCGACAGACTAAAAATTTGCAACTGTAAACTGACTAATGACAGGAAGGTCCATCTCAAGCCCAACATGCTCCAAAAGCTTGAAACCATCCATGTCAGGCATGTTAACATCACTAATTACAATGTCAAACCCATCTTTTCTTTCCCGAAGCAGATCCAGAGCCTCTATAGCTAGTCCACATGTAGTAACTGAAACAACAACAATCGACAATCAACGAAAAAGAAAACTTCAAGGAATACAAATATTATAATATATATATATATATATATAGTGTATATATATAAAACTTCGGTTTGCTGAATATAGCCAGCATTATTTATTAAGTGTTGTCTAAAGCTACCACAATGTTTTTACAAGAAGAGCTTGGATGGAAAGTAACATGGACAGAAGACTGCTAACACCAGTCAAAATAGAATCAACAGCATTCAAGATCATGGATTTATATGAATTTATGTTTTCCAAATCAAGCAAGTCATGCCAAGTAGATGCATTTGATATCAGCTAAGAACTGTATCTGGTTTTCACTTAATAGAAAATAGACCTTTTCATCCTCAATTTTTTCTACCTTTTCTCTGCTATAGTGTCAAATGTTCAAAAATAGAGCATGAGCTGCCCAACATTCTATCATTTGCAGAAATTGTGCGGAAAGTATATAATTACAAAAATGTTATTCAAGTCGAGACATTTCAATCAATAAATCGTTGTGTCACCTTTGAACAAGGAGTCAAGGATGGTAAAAACATCATATAATGTATTAAAATGACATGTCTATATATATGTATATATCCAAGTTTTCCTTTATACTTCTCGTATCAATTTTAGTTGATATCTCTCTTGATTATCGACACTCATGACTATCAAATACTACCAAGATGTCTACACTTGCCAAATACTACTGTTCTTCTCTGTTTGGTTCTTAAATTTTTACAAGCGAAAGAAAAAGGATCCATGCTTTATAGTCTAATCATAAAAAGCATGTTGAAAAAGGAAGATGTAAGTGAATGTCAGGATCAAAATATCAAACCCCTTAATCTTCTGCATGCCATTGTCTAATCTTTTGTATGATGTTCAACTAATTTGACTTCTTTTAAACAACATACATCATTTGTGTCACAGACTGCTAGCTTTGTTATGTCTCTGTTGTCTATGAGTTATTCTTGCAGATATTCGTTAGGTAGGTGCAAAGTTGCTTAAATACATGCAATCAAGATGGACAAATAACCTGTACCAAATTGAAGATAAAAAAGGTAACACCAAACTCTAAATAAACCAATATCAGTATACCAATTGAATTAACTCCCAACCTAACAATGTATTCTACCTGGATCATGATCATGAATTTGGAACGGTGGGCAGGCAATCCTTATAGACCTTATAAAAAAAGCAAACTAATCACCATTGGTGATTTTGTATAGGCACATGGCTTCCTACAAATGTACTATACCCTTGAATCATTTTCTACACATCACTAGCAGTACTTCAGCACAATTCTTCTGTTTTGTTTATGCAGAAGTATTAGGTATGATGTAGAATTATCGAATCAGAAACAAAACCTGACTGACGAACAACTGGAACAGCACACCAAATTACCTCGGTTTATTCATCTATTGATACTTCACAACTAACAAAAGGATCTTACCTGAAAACAACTAAACCCATTAACGACTAATTTCTCTAATAACACCAATAATCTCAAATTAAGCTTACTATATACCCACGCCAATATTCACACATATATTTTATTGAAGTTATTAATCTGTCAAACTGGAGCTGTACTTATGCTTGATATACAAGGAAACACAACTACCTGTAATGAATCTACATAAACAAACAAACAAACAAACTGTCACGCAAATTAAAACGAATCAAGGAAAAAACAATCAGTGATGAAATATGAACCTTCATACGAGCACTTCTTAAGCATCTTCTCGAGTATTTTCAACCAAGTAGGATCATCATCGACGACAAGTACACGAAGTCCTGCCGGAAAAACATCCGCTCTCGGTGATGAAAATCCGTTTATTCCTTCCGTCATCGGAGAAGAGAAATCAGTCAATTAAGCACCAAAATACTCCGGCGAACAGCCGGTTGTGAGAAAATAGAGCTCCGATCGAGAGGCGGAGGGAGTTTGAGAGTCCGGAAAACGACTGAGGTTTGCAGTGTTATAAGAGAGGGAGAAGCCGAATATTTGGCGCCGGCAATAAGCTAGTAGTTACCAACGGTCCCCGGTGTTAAAATAAAGAATATTGCAGTTAGACCCATAAAGTTTTTGGACTTGTCCTTTTTGGACCCTATATATTTAAGAAACTACTTTCAACACCCTCCTCAACTTTGAATAAAGGGGTCAAGCTCAAGAAAAAAAACTACAAAATTTGAAAAACTAAAAAACATCATGGAAATCGTTCATTAAGTAACTTGTATGCAATTTGTCCGGTATGCACTTGTGCATAAAAACTAAGACACATCTACAATTACTTATATGCATATGCACATACCATCGAGATGAATAATTACCAAAGTGCTCCTTATGGGGTGTTTGGAATTGTTATAAAAATAACTTATTGACTTATTTTGATGTGGCACCGGTAATAAGCACTTTTGAATGTTTGGATAAACAACTTATACCAGTGTCAAACTGTTAAAATGAGTTTTTGAAGAAGTTAAACCATTCTAACTTATAATAAGTTGACAAAGACTTTTGTAGAAAAACATAAATTGTTTTAAATAAGCAATCCCAAACACCCCCTTAGTTTTTCATTTTTTAGGGTTTTCTCTTGAACCACCCTCTTGAATAGGGTATTCACTTGTTGCTTGGGTTTACAAATGCTCTGTAAGTTTTACAAAAGCATCTCCAACATTTATGATATTTTAGAAAATTTTGAGATTTGGGAAAAGTTTGTTTTAACAGTTATGTTGAACTCTCCTCTAAAAAAAAGGAGGGCGAATGAAGAAATCTTCAAATTTGAAAAAGAGAAAAAAAATATAGCATACATGTTGGAGATGCTCTAAATATAGTGTCTTTTTAGAGGTAAGATTTTGATTCAAATTTAACTGATTCCTTATTAGTAACTATTTATATAATAGGGAATGCTATATGCACATTTTAAAGTTAAAATCAAGTCAAATCATGCATTAGGAGGTGTAAAATGTGAGTTTCGATGCTGATGTGTATGAAAAGGAAATTACCAGATATGGACACATTTAGCAGTATATAAGTATGCATTTATGTTTTCTTTTATTAAAAGTGTACTAAAAAATTGTTAAAATATCCAAAAACGTCATATAAACTTATTACAACACCTCTAGATAAGACACTTTATTTTTGGTCTTATAAATTAAGTATATAAAGCAGTCTATTAGAACACTTAAGATTGTTGGTATTTAACAAATCCAATTTTGTATAATGGTATATTACAAAATAAATGCAGTATTTGACTTAATATATAGTATTTAATAGTCTTTGATGTGTAGCTCAGTTGGTAGAAGGTTAAAACAGTTTTGCCCAAGTACATGACATGTTATGGGTTTGATCCCACCCCCGTTTTCCAACCTCAACTGTTGAGTGAGACAAACATGACCCTCATTAAAGACGGGTTCTGTAAGAGATTGGTCGGGTTTAAAAAATGTAGTATTTAATAAAAATGATCAATTAATGACCAGACGCATAAGAGGTAGTCTTTAATGATGACAAAATAACTAGGATTAATTGATCAATATTAATAGGGAAATTGACCAAAACGATTATTTTATACATTATAACTTAACAAAATGATCACTTTTTAGAGTATTTTAACAAAATGACCATGCAAGTCTTTGACTTTTTGATGGCAATTTTGACCAGAAGGTAAAGAGGGGTGATTTGCATGGTCATTTTGTTAAAAAAAATCTGAAAAGTTATCATTTTGTTAAGATACAGTGCATAAAATGGTTATTTTGATTAAGTTTCCAAAATAAGGGGCTGTTTGGCAATTGTTGAATGGTTTGGTGCAGAATGACTAAGAAACTCTCATAATATAGTGTAAAATGAAACATAATTATTTGGTAATTGTGTATAATGAAATTAGGGCTCTTAATGGTTAAGGGAGATCTATGATACAAAATCACTCAGAGGGTTTTATAACCATTAAGAGCTATATTTTTTTTTTGTTAAACAAGATTCACCTCTTAACGATTCAGAGGTTGCCTCTTAATAAAACTACTAAGAGGTTACAAACAACTCCTAATGAGTTATTTTTTTTAAAGTATAATAAGTATTTTTTAAAAAACTTAAACTTACATCCAAAAGTTTGTAAGGATTCGTTGATACTACTGAATTAAAAGCTACAGGATATTATTTTATATGATAATTTTATAATGATTATTAATTAAAAAATATTTAAATTAAACCTTATTTAATTTCTTTATACATATGTTTAAAATGAAAATAAAAATTATATCTCTTAAGGTATTATTCAAATATTTATTATAGGACTACACATGGGTTGGAATGGACGGTTTAAGGTATTTGAACAACTTAATTCAATGTTTGCAGTTTGAAAAAATTTAATCCAACCCAACCTAAACAAAGTACAACCTAAACCCTACAGGTTGGATTGGTTGAGTTGAAACTTGAATATATCATTTTATAATTTAAATAGGCGATTTTGTTTAAACGATGTAAAATCAAAAGGAAATCATACAAATAAGACTAACGATTACATAAGAGATATTAACATATATTTACATGAGAGTTTGTACAAACGCTGATAATTACATATATTATTAAAGACTTGGGCGTCGTTTGTTTTATAAGAGGTGTCGAAGTCTGAAATCTTATTTCACTTCTGATTTATTGTTGAAGTCTGAAATTTGAATCAATAAGACTGTTTGTTTTTGTAAACTGATAAACGTCTCAATTTATTTAAATTGTCTATTTTACCCAATAAAAAATTATAGTGTTGAGTTTATAAATAAATTTATATAATTTCACATGTTTATTCATCATCATTACGAAATTTATATCTAAATCATATAATTAGCACTCATTTAAATGAAAATATGTCATGAACGGTATTTAACACATTTAAATTATATTAAAATACATCAAATGTGAGATGTGAGGATTGATTTGGTGATGATCGATTGAGAAAAATGATTGATTAATGGTAATCGATTAAGAAACATCGTTGTTGCAGGTTTGAAAACAATAAGAGGCAAACAAGAGATTGGTTTACCTCTTATCAGATATGAGAATAATAAGACATAAGTGTCTCTGAAAAATTGAAAAAAACAAACAGTCTAAATGGTCTTACCTCTTAACAAATCAGACATAAGAGACTGATAAGAGATCTTTTATAAAAAATAAACAAGGTCTTAACAATTACACTAAATTCATGGTACAGAAAAGACATTGGATTCATCAGATTAGTTCGGGTTCAAATGACCCTAATCTAATCTCAACTCAACATCTATGGTTTGAAGATTATACAGCTATATTAGGTATTGAGTGACTTCAGATCGGATTGGATCGGGTTATTTAAGGTTGGATTAACCGGGTTAATGAATACATTATAATTTGCATTTCGATTTTAATCCAGAAACAATATATTATAATTCAATAAATATATAGATCATGTTTGTTTGTTTTTAAAAGAAGCCTTATCAGCTTTTTATGTCTGATTCGTTAAGAGGTAAGGTCATTCAGACTGTTTGTTTTTTCAATTTTTCGAAGGTGCTTATGTCTTATTGTTTTATTATCTGGTAAGAGGTAAACCAATCTCTTATCTACCTCTTATTGTTCTTCAAATCCTCAACAAACGGCTTCTAGATCGGTTAACCTCAATCGATCATTATCAAATCAATCCTCACATTTCACAATTGGTGTATTTTAATAAGATTTAAATGTATTAAATACCGTTTATGACATATTTTCGTTTAAATGAATGCTAATTATATGACTTAGATGTAAATTTCGTAAAGATGATGAATATACAGTCTCATTGATTTAGATTTCAGACTTCAACACCACATTGTATAAATCAAAAGTGAAATAACATTTCAAATTTCAACACCTCCTAAAAAGCAAACGTCAACTTAATTTACGATAAAAATATTTATGTGACTAATAAAAGTTGATGAAAATGTGCATAAAAATTGTGGTGCACATAACCTTTTTAAATGTGTGAGTCACTTCTAACTTTTGTGTGTGTATATATATTATAAATATATTACAATTTGAATTAATTAAAATAGATAATATTTTAGCATCAAATGAGACCAAAACAAGTGTTCAATTAAAGTAAATTCCTAAAAGATACCCGATAATTTTATTTATAAATATATATTCCAAATAAAATAATTATAAATAACAAAAAAATCTATATATATATATATTAAAGGAAAAACCAAGAGTATTAAGGTGACATCATGAGAATTGAGGTGTTGGTAAATTATGGTTGAGTTTGAGATATCCTACATTGGTGAAGAATTGAAAATTTTGAACAAAATAAAGTGTATAAGAAAGGTGGATTGGATGACTTTGTGTCAAATATGAGGTTTGTCTCATAGAGTTGTCTATATAAAAAAAATCAATATATCAATACAAAAGAAAACTAGAAAATAATAAGGTGGCATCATTAAAACCATATATTTTAAAATTCTTGCATTGTGGTTGGATTTTGGTATCCACATTGATTAAAAATTGATACGTCAATGAGAAAAATGAGTATATAAGATAAATATGAGTTCCCTTTGAAAATTAAAAGATTCATTTGGTTATATAAGCCATGTTTATCTTTAAATGTTTGGAGCAATTGTCTAAACTCACGTGATTTGATCATTTTGACTGAACTTCCAAACATATGCGGTTGACTCATTTTGGCCAACCTTTTTTTTGTGACAAAATTAATTGTTGGTCCCAAAAGGGTCTACAAGAATACTAAACAGGTTGTAGAAGGGGGGGGGG